TGTATTATTACTATCAATTTAGATAAACATTTACAAGCTTTCAAATATTACAATATACACTGTAAAAATATAGAAATGTACATTCTTTTAGATAAAATGGAAATAAGAAAATTTCATTTCTGGTGGACTTTATTCGCAAAATATCTTTTATTTAAGTAATTGACAAAATGAAAATGGAATTGGAAAGGAATTGGATGGCACCTGATCCCACCTCTGATGTTTTATAGGTCCGTGTTTGCTCTGCTCCTTTTTGTATTGTTTTATGGACTTTTGATCTTGAATAATGTTCGGCATCTCCATATTTTTCACGGCATCGATTCTTCTTTATCTGAAAAAATGTATGCCTTCCTCTTTCATCATGACGAACAAAATTACTATTTATGAAAATGTTCCCAGTTTATGAAAGATAATTTGTGGTTAAGCAGATGACCGTGTACGTCTACGTGTACGTATAGCTAGGGAAATCCCCCAATTTACTGCGATTTACGTCATCAGTTTTGCATACCGTGTAATTATACAAGTTGAACACAACGTGTTGATTGGTGGAGCCTGACTGGGTTAAGTAATAGACTCCACCGAACTTGTATCTTCTTAAACTCAAACTACAGAATACTTATTTTTCAACCGGTGTTTGGTATGAAGTTGAGAACTTATAACTTATAACATATAAAATAAAAAGACATTAAGTTTACAAAATATTTAAAATATATAACATATTAAATTCTTACTAGAAACATAAAAAGCGTCAAAGGTAACAAAACATAATCTCAATAAAACAAAAAATACCGAGTAAGCTTTGCCTTGTAATGAAACATGTGGAGATGAACAATACACGCTATTCAAGATCAAAAGTCCATAAAACAATACAAAATAGGAGCAGAGCAACAGCCCACCAATCTCTACCCAGAATTAATTGGAACGATAACTCTGGGTAGAGATTGACAGCCCACCAGGAAAGAGGACGATAATTGGCCACATTAGTCGGTCATACCAACAGTATACATTGATCAGGTCACGGATTTTCCAAAGTCAAATAATGTATAAAAGCATTAAAAAATTCAAACTTGTCAGTCTACGTCAGGCACAATGATAGATTGAAAAATATTGTTCTTTATTTTTCCTTGCATAAACCTTTCTTGTTTCTGATTTTCCAAGATTATTTTAGACTGATCGAGTTTCAGTCATATTCCTGGTTTTTATAATTTATAAGGTTCATAAACTCTCTGCTTACTCATATAAAATGTTTCTTTAACTTTTATGATTTTCCAATAGAAAAGTATATGCTAAATAAAATACAAACAATTTTATCCTGGCTTTCGGGGCAAAATTTGACAAAAAGGCACTTCAACTTGACAAATTTATAAAGGAATAATAGACATTTATGTCATTAAGAGTTATCTCTCTTATCGGAGTATCAATGTACTTTAAACTCACAGTTGGGTGTGATATTATGACAGCATTGACCTTTATCTCGTCACTGTTAACGTCTTAAGGGAGGGAAGTTTTCATTAAAACAAACTATTTTCATTGTATCTACTACTTCCTGATACAATGTACAAAAGGCGTCCTTCTCCAGCTCATCACTTGCGCAGGAACAATCCTATCGATGGCGTATTGTATATGGTACCTCGATTACACCAGAATTATTTTCGGCACGACCTTGAACAAAAATTACACGAATAAGGAAAGCTCCATGACAATGTACAGATCTTGTCTACTTTGACTAGGTAAAGTGCATATAAAGAAGTTATGAATATTCAAAACTATAATTGTTTTTATACGCCACGCAACAAATTGCGGGAGGTATAATGTTTTTTGACCCGTCCGTCAGTCAGTCAGTCAGTCAGAGTATCAGTCCGTCAGTCCTGTTTTTTTTGTCAGCGCAACTCCTCATAAACCGCTGCACAGAATTTGGTCAAACTTTGCATATATTTAGGACACAATGTGTAGATGTGCATATTACGAGGAAATTCTGGTTCCTTTATTTTATCGTGAATTTCGCACTTTTATACTTAGATTTTTGGCAATACCTTGAATAAGAGATGAACAGTTTATCAGCGCAACTACTCATAAACAGCAGCACAGAATTTTGTCAAACTTTTCAGTTATTTAGGACACAATATGTATATATGCATATAACCAGGAAATTCCGATTCCATTATTTTTTACGGGAATTTCGACACTTTTCAACTTAGATTTTTGGCCAGACCTTGAAAAGAGATGAACAGTTTGTCAGTGCAACTCCACTTTAAAAACCGCTGCACAGAATGTCCTTAAACGTAGCATATATATTTAAGACACAATGTGTAGATGTGCATTTTACCAGGAAATTTCGAGACCTTGAAAAGAGATGAACAGTTTGTCAGTGCAACTCCACTTAAACCGCTGCGCAGAATGTCCTTAAACGTAGCATATATATTTAAGACACAATGTGTAGATGTGCATTTTACCAGGAAATTTCGATTCAATAATTTTTCTGGGAATTTAGGCTCTTTTTAACTTAGAAATTTGGCAATATACTGAATAAAGATATAAACAGTTTGTCAGCGCAACTACTCTTAAGCCGCTGCACAGAATATTGTCAAACTTTGCAGATATGTAGTACACAGTGTTTAGATGTGCATAATACTTGGAAATTCCGATTCCTTTATTTTCCTTGGAATTTCTGCACTTTTCAAATTAGATTTTTGGCCGTACCTTGAATATAGAGATGAAGAGATTGTCAACCGACTCCTCTTAAACCGCTGCACAGAATTTGCTAAACTTTGCATATACACATGTATTTAGTGCACAGGTATATATGTGCATTTTACCAGGAAATTCCGATTCAATTATTTTTCTGGGAATTTCGGCACTTTTCAACCTAGATTTTTGGTCATACCTTGAATATAGAAATGCACAGATTGTCAGCGCAACTTCTCATAAACCGCTGCACAGAATTTCGTCAAACTGTGCAGATATTCAGGGCACAATGTGTAGATGTGCATTTACCAGGAAATTGGAATTCCTTTATTTTTCCCGGCAATTTCAGCACTTCGAGTTTTGAGGGAGCGTGGTGTATGTGAGCTTGCTCACTTTTTCTTTCATTTAAAAATCTAAGGGCAGAAAAAAGTCAAAATTAGGATTGCAATGCAACTAAACTATTACGATATTGTAAGATCAAATTTAAGAAGACAGACAAGATAAATTTTATAAGATAAGACTTGGCTACACATGTATATTTATTATCAATGCAGATTTTGACAACACTGCCTACGGTAATAAAACATATTTCTTAATGGTTATATTCATCTTATGTTTTAATCATGCTCAATGTATAAATGGTTGATGCCACTGATAATATACATAAATACTTTTTCTAAAGCAAAACATTAAAATACTTGTACATGTATATATACAAATACAGATTATTAATATTACAACTTTTTATCGATCAAAATCTTGAATTTTCAAAAATTTAGATGGGCACATAAATAAGCTTTCATAAAGTAGATCTTGTATCAGATATGATTCTTCGATGTTATTGAAGATTAATTTCATTTTATGGTTATAAAGTCATTTTAGTTTTTAAATGGCCATAGATTGAACTTTTGGAGAGAAGAGTATTATTATAAGAAACTTGGTGTTTGGGAAATGATTAAAACTCTATGCATATGAAATGTAAAGAAAAATTTTCAAACCTCGAGCTCCGTAAAGAACATGATTTATGAGTATTTCTCAAGAGTGACAAAAACACGTTTTTTATTCTTTCTATAAATTTATCTTACCCATTCCCATGGCCCAGCGATTTGAAACTTTAATGAATGCATAGATTCAGATGATACGACTCCAATATTGATCCACAAACACGATCAAACACTAATCATGTGTTTTACCGGTGACATGATTATTTGAGTAAGTTATTTTATTAGGAAAATTATAAAGTAACCTCAAACCCATTGAGTATATATATTCTCCATTTGTCCTTTCTATAATGATTAAAATTAAAAACATATATCAAGTAATCGCCATTACGAATGAGGATAACGCTTACCCTAAGAAATGTTTTGTTTTGAATTGATTACTTTAAGACTAATATTATTTTGATATCTTTTTTTATAGTTTAATTCATTAACAGGCATTTATTCTATAGAAGTAAGAATACATGTATAGTTAGAAATAAATAAGACCAAAGTCAGCTGTACTGTTTCTTTATTATTTGCAATTTAGAGTTTTCTGTAACATTTCCTAAATTCATGTGATTTGTCTTTGGATGTTACCTCTAGTTCGGAGTCGAATGTATCATATGCAATGTACAGATACCTTGGCCCCACCCAATATTATAACACAGACATTCAATTCCTTCCTTGTCACAATTTATGTCCGGCATCATAATACTTCCCATATTTTGGCAAGGATTTCGGTCAAGATACAATATGTTATTTCTGCGAACAGATTTAAATTTTCTCACATGGCCCACAAGTAAACCCTTCATTAGTTCGATTGGCATTTGGTAGAATTTTACTCGTGTATGAAATCGTGAGTTTGTGCAGAAAATAATTTTGATGCAATCGGCGTGCCATACTATTCCTGATACGAAGGGCTCGTCACTCGCGCAGGAACAATCCTATTGATGGCGTATTGTCTTACATCTGAATATTTCTAATAGCTAAATTACAAAAACAACAGTTACTTATGTTACTTATGTTATGTTACTTATGTTAAATCCCTAGAACACTAAGTTACATGTACTATATATAGTATTCTAGAAATGTATAAAAAGCCTGAGTACATCGACAGTTGCATTTGTATTCATAAAAGTAAATAAATTCATACAATAATATTCTTTATTTAATATGCCTTATGTATTTTTAATACTTGAATGGCTTCCACAATACATGTTTAGATACAGATTAAAATTATAATTCAAACTGATTTTTGAACCAATAAGGATGCTTTACAATGTTTTTCATATATATATTTTTAAAAAAAAAAGGCAATATGAAAATTCTCGAAGCAGCTTAATGCAGGTGCTATAATGACAAATGATTGATTGATTCATTGATTACTATTGTTTAACGCCAAGTCGGGAGTATTTCAGCCAATCAGCCATGTTTCAGTGATAAGACCACTGATATGATAAGTACAAATTTATGTTTAGTGAAATATTCAATCAGACGTTTCTATATTCCTGCATTAAACAGGATATATTGTTATCTTTTTTGAATCAGTGATTTATAATACACAATTTTGCTTTTAATACTAAAATATGTTCACTTGGTATAAAAACATTCTTGTCCATAATATTTTAAAGAGTGCTCTCAATGATGTATCAGAATCAAAACATTTAGTTTTAATCCAACATTCATAAAAAGAAAGAGACTTATTGAACAAGTACATGTATATGTACTTCACAATAAAGATAAGCATTTTATCTCAGAGTCAATTTTAATATTCGAACGATATGCATACCAATATGTCTTCCTCAATTAAGAGTCTGTAGATCTAACCTCTGTTAGTCGAATTGACTCTGTAATAGCGAAACTTTTCTTTTGCTTTTCTTTAGGACAACAGATGGTGTAGTATAACCATCTCAGAGATTGGTGAATGATGTTTCGGAATTTTGATTCCCCGATTAAGTATATGAAAGGGTTGATGATATTGTTAATGAAGAATGCTCTGGCTAAAAGCGGTAGAGTTCCCAAAACAATGGGGCTTGGCGGGAAAATGTTACCTCTTTTGAATGTAGAGATAGCATCCAAAATACAGTTTGGAAGATAGCACACAATAAAAGCCACCGTAATTGCAATCATAAGTTTTGTAATTCTTGGGTTCGTTTTGTTCAGTCTTTCATTCATATTTTTTGTCGATTGCTTTCTAGTATGTTTACGAAGTGACAAAATCACAAGAGTATATAGCACAGTTAGCAACAAAAATACTAACACGTACAAAACGAAGAGAATAGTAGAGTAAATGAATGGATATTTTGTGTCTCTAATATTATCATCAATAGAACAGTCAAAACCAGTAACATTCCCAGGAAAATACACTTGTTTGATCCCTTGTATGATTGCATTTGGCCACGAAAAGGCAATGGCCAGAAGGATGGCGGCCGCGCAGCACAGACGAGCCTGAATTAAAGTGGTGGCGGTAGAAAACGGGTGACAAATCTTTTTGTATCTACCCGCTGCCATCACAACAAGAACAAAAGCTGATCCAATCTTAAATACATTCCCAAAGAAACGACCACATTTGCAGAAAGCTTCACTATAAAACATAACCGGGTAGGCGTTGTCCACAACTTCAACGGGCATGGCGAAAATACAGGAGAGAAGGTCAATGACCGCTAGGGTCAGGATGTACAGTCGAAATGTGGACGGTGGGTACTTTAGGGAATACACAATAATGACCACCGTGTTTCCAATTACTCCAATGATAATTAGAATCGTTAGGAAAATAACAGTGGGGAGTCGTTGTTCCGCTTTTGACGCATTGATTTCTTCTAAAGTCTGGAAAAATTGTGTAGAAGTATTTGAAATCACCATTGTCAGATTTTCCATCTTTTAATACTGAAAAAAATAAATTAAAAAACAAAATTTTCAACTTTTCTATCGTAATTTTTCACACAGCCACAAATTTAAACAATGATGGGTAATATGACAAATACATGCCACCGCTTAGTAACATATGTGCTTCTTATAAGCAAACACAGAAGATTGCGTTGATAGGTCCCATGTTTCCTCTGAGCACTAATTTGAATGTCAACATGACCTGGTCAAATGAATTATGAATACAAATGTCAATGCCCCTACTTCATTTATCCAAGTTAGGAAATCGAATTTGTCACCATTCTTAATTTGTTACACTATTTCTCAAACGAAGAAGAGAGTTTTATTACCAATTTGTTAAGCTGGTTAGTGTAATTAATATTAGAAAATTGATTTTGAACAGAAATTTAAAGACCGACAGTTGAATATTTTCTCGATTCTTTTAACGGTTTTTGTATCATACAATGTACATTCTTTCCATTCCGATCTGAGGCGATGCTGAATTGTAATATGAAATGCTATTTTTATAGTTTAAGTACTTGTGATAGTAACAATAAAATTATTTTTAAAAATATATAATAATAATTCATTGAAACATGTGTACCATTGATAATGGTGTAAAAGTGTATTATTATATAGAACATAAATTCAAATTTAAGTGATGCTGCTTTTTTTAAGTTAAATATTAATTGCTTACCCTTGGAAATTCACAAATGTAATGTACAAAAAGCTGATTTACAGTAACGTGTTTATTATGTAATAATAACCTCTTTTTCACACACAACAAACATACCTGGCAGCACAGTAATCCGAATACGCCAAATGTCCGAGAGCCAAAACGTGTTTTTTTCTGGTGTTTCCGTCAAAGTACTAACGAACACGTGTATAGAACATCCCTTTATCTCCTGACATAAGTGTAATGTTTCGTTCCTGTCTCCTCAAATTAACAGTGAATATTTGTTTCTCAGTCTCTCACATATATTCATCTGACGCTCACAAGTTACTGTAAACCGTTACTGTATGGTCGCGATGGTTTGTTCTGTCCAGTACTGCACATTATGTCCGCATTGCATGTCTATCTCCTTTAATTGCCAATGAGTTTAGCATATAGGGTTACACTGATTCTCAATAATCTAACTAACTTCATAGATTTTTCTCTTCAAGTGACAGCAATTAATAATTCAATGTTATTTTCACGTTTCATCAGTAGGACTAACGACCCAAGGATCTTTTCCTTTGTCTTTAATAAGCGAGTGCACACAATACCATCTAGCTTACTCTTTTATTCAAAGGAGATGGATATACGGTAGCAGAATTATTTCCGCAATATTTGTTTGGGTATGCCTCGTTTTAAGATCGTAATCGTCTTTCCATTGGACTTCTATGTTTTGATTGACGGGAAATTTCACCGGAAATTTAACCAACACTGTATCATTTATCCTCCGTGTAAAACAAAACTTACGCGGATCTGTCAGAGGAGTTGTTAATGTTCCGTGTTTTGTCTAATGGCTTCTTGATAACCGATTTTGTTTTTATCAAAGACAGTGAGATGATATTTATTAAATGTGAACTTTATCATTTCTAAAATGAAATAACGGGTATACAGCGTTACTTTTCATACTTATGAAGAAAGCATATGTTTTGATGAGTTTTTGTTTCTACAATGTTATGCAACAGTGTGTTAAGTGTTTAATTTGTTTTTAAAAACCAGGAATATTATTTTTTTTAAAGTATCCAATATTTTTTTTTCTAAAATGCCCTATATAATAATAATCAGAATTGGTTGGCACTTCATCATTGTACAAATATTGTTGTACATAATGATCCCACTTATTGATACAATGCTGGGGAATTACTTTATTGATATCTGAAGTTCGTACAGGGTTCAGGTTATGGACAATTATGCCACATATTGATTTTTGTCATTAAAATATATATACCTGGTTCATATTGCATGCAATTGCTACCATATACTATAGTACATCAGATTTACTGATTTTTCAAACTGGACCACTTTTATTTGTTTCTGTTTCTTCAATAAAGACTTTCAAATTCTGTTTTAGAGATATACATGTACATGTAAAAATGGCCAAGAGAAGTTAGAATAACAAAATTTATGCATAGAAATATTTCTGAGTTGATAACATTTTTATTTAAGAACAAATTTCTCTTGTGATTACCTTTCCAATTACCTTCCGGCTTTTCTTTCTCTTGTCTAGATATCTATATTGAATAAATGTGAATAATTGACGTTTCCTCTAGGATATTATTTGATCACCTGAACTATTCAGCCATAACACGTAGACTAATGTACATAATTGACACACATACACATTATCGTTATCCGAATTATCTTACACACATGCCAAAACAAAAGATTCTTTGCTCTTTCAAAAGTAATGTAGAGTCGTCAGCGAAAACGTTGCTTTTCATGTTAAAGTCTTTAATGTTGCTTTTCCTTTAAATTGTTTATAAAACTATGAGGTGCGTTCGTTTATATTTCTTGCCAACCGAACTAGACACGTGACTCCTGTTTATTGCCTTTGTAACTTCCTTAAGGTCGGGTTTCTTCAGATTTGCTATTTTGATTTCTCTAATTATTTGTAATACAAAAGGTCTTGAATATTTCAATGTAAAACCAGAACTGCTATTATTATGTCTAACTTATGAGTAATCATTGATTGTCATTGTTATAGGCTAGAGTTAATACTCAGTAATTCAAATTGCGAAACAAAATATGAATATCTAGATTGATATTGTATATGGAAAACAATATCATTGCTTCATCTGAAGATAATAAAAATATATGTATCAGTATTCAAGCTCAAGAATCTGTTGAAAGAGTAGAAATTGAGGACAGAGCAAAGACGAACCTCTAAAACACGAGATTTGGATCAGATGCCATCCATGAATAAGCATCCGGTACTTTAACCATATCAATGGAACTTTCATTTACGCTTTAAAAAATCGATTAAAATAATTGTACAGAATCATCCAAAGTGCAAATGTAGATTTAGAGCAGATGACACTTTTTTTTAATCTTGAAAATAACAGCTTAATCATGTCCTAATTGATTTTATTATCAAAAGAGTGATTGGATTACTCTTGATAAATATTTGACGGATTCTCCGGTTGTATCGATCGTTACAATGGTTCTATTTTCATCAAAAATAGAATGAGAATTATTAATGAGCATGTATTTTTAAATATGATTTCACTTTTTCAGATTTTGATCAGCTAGACAATGAAATCGCAGAAACCAGAAAGGAACTGAAACCCAAAGTGAGCCAGTTGTTTGACCTTGAACATAAAGACAACCCTAGGGGCTTTCATTTGAACCCTTTAACCAAAGAGGAAATGCGGGCCGTAGAACAGATGCTGTAAACTCTATATGAGGTCATGATGGTGTACTTACAAGTGCATTCTCGAAGCACTAAGTGATACATATAATTGTGAAAACTTCACATTTGATATCAAATTGTTTGACATAAGCATCCCTGTAACTTTTTTTCAAGGAGAACGTTCTAACCAATGTCAGGTTACAAACATTGAAATCTCGTGTGATGGGTCATCACTTATCATGTGAACTTTATACAGAAATTGTGTACGCTCAGTTTAGTTCTTAAAATTACTAAATGGTGCACATGAGCAAATTGTAATATAATGATCTTATGCATAATAAGTTTCTGGTCTTTTTCTGTTTCTCCCGGGGCAAAATGCTTGTATTTTGAATCTTTTAAAACGGTAGGTGGAATCATGAAAAAGTCCAATTTGGCATTTAGAAATGCAATACTAAGTATAAGAGAATTGTTATACATGTATTACAATAACGTGATCAGAAAAAGAACCCGAAGGACTTGGTCAAAGAACACCGTAGACCGTGAGCGTTTCAGCAATGTTATGGTCACAATTTCAAAGCGAACTTATTTTGTTTTAATATCAACATGAGACTTAATGTATTTCGTCTGGAAAGTAATTTCAGACACCATAATGATTTCCTCTCTGATCAGGAGACAATTTATTGCTTCAACCATGTCCAGTTTTTTTTTTCTACTGAAGTATCTTTATGCTCTTCGGCAATCATTAAAGTTTAGGTTAAACGAAACTGATAAAATGATACCGGTATAAATTTTTATAGATCTGTATGATAGATTGTACTCTGACTGAATTCTAAATATTGTATTTCGAAAAGAACTACTAGTATACAGATATATTATGAAATCTATTTTTATTAAATATAGCTTAAAAAACATAAATATGTTGCTACCTTTTATATGTTTCGTACTTTAATGATGCAAAGTAAAAAGATTCAGTGCAAAACAATTTACTTTCTTGCGGATCAATATAGATTGATCATTGTTCTCCAATTAAAGTAGGTGTCATAAATCAATCTCCTCTTCGTCTTTGTTAGAGTACAATTCATCCCTCAAAATTTAGATATATCAATCTGATAACGGAGTGGGTTATTTTAAAAAAAGACAACAACTTTAGAAAGAATACAATATATGGAGATAAAGGAACAGCATTCAAGCTCAAAGATCCATAAAACAATACAAAATAAAAGAAGAGCAAACATGGACTTCCTAAACATCAGAGGTGGGATCAGGTGCCATGGAGGAGTGAAAATTCCTTGTATCGACCATAGAAATTACGAATTATGATTAACCTAGACTGCTTAATTCTTGTTTCATCAACTTGTTTGTCAATAATTTACCTTGCTTTAGAAATTTTACATGGATTACGTAGATCCTGCTCTTGCAGGTCGAATATACTGAGAAATATAAATTCCGTATGCAGGTGATGAATATATTGTTGTATAGGTAAAGGGAAGTTGACGATTGAAAATTTATCACGTTTATCACAGAGCTTGGTTGTAAGATTATCATTAACGTCTTTTTTTTTCAAATAGAATAACCAAATATGAAATGGATGTGTATCTTTTATCCTAAGCTTACCGGGATATATCGTATTGACATAAGAATGGAAATAACCACTGTTAATTGACAATACATCGTCGATATATCTCAATGTCGATCGATTTGAAAGCCACAGCAAGTGTGCCTGATCTCCAAAAACCACATAGATATTGTCAATAAGAAACTCAAGCATCGATTTCAGAGTACTTGTGCGAACAATCAGCACGAAAATAATTTTGCAAATGACCAATGACAAGGTAAGTAAATTTACGAGTTCCATTTTTATTGAAAAAGCAGCTGTCAATGATATCAAAAACCCTGGACTTTCATTTATCGTGGGGAAAAGCTGTGTAAAAAGTTTTAAAAATCTCAAGTTTTTAAGCTATTGATTTTGGTAAAACTTTGTGATTTTAAATTTTTTAGAAAGTTCTCTGAAATTTTTAGGTCTCCACATCTGATTTACACAACTTCTCGAATATATTGTTGGACAGTACTCTTGAAGTTAATAGAATTTTTATAGAATAAACACATTCCTAAAGCACGACAGGGAGGAAACTATTTTTTAGTAAGTATGTATCTGTCAGTCATAGTGTTTTTTTAAAGCAATATGAGCTGCATGTTTGACATGGGAAAAATTTGTAGCAAATTTGTAATTAACTATTTAAATGAAAGAAAATTAGAATATTTATAAACTTTGTTCTTCATATTTGCGATGGAAGAGTTTTTTTTATAAGCTTTGATTGAACCAAAATTACATTATTGTCGTCCTGTACAATATTGATTTCTTATATAATACAATATGTTTGATTGTACAAAAATATTTCTGATGAAACATTTCAAAACTTTATTTTTGTCCTATTGATCATAAGGATTTAAATTCAATACAAATTCATCATTATAACACATTTTGCCATCAAAATAAATTTCTCAAAAATGCAGCTCATATTGCTTTAACTTTTTCACTTCTTTCTCCGAAACAGCTAAACTAATTTAAACAAAATTTATTACATGTATAGTATTTCTGAAGAAAGAGGAACAATAATGTTTTCTCTGCCTATCCAGGCCTTGAGAAAATTGACCAAACCAAATTGAATACACTCAAATTCAATATAAATTCATCATTATAACACATTTTGCCATCAAAATAAATTTCTCAAAAATGCAGCTCATATTGCTTTTTTTGTTGGTTTAACTTTTTCAACCTCTTTTTCAATTTGCTTTCGAAACAGCTAAACTAATTTAAACAAAATTTATTACATGTAAGTATTTCTGAACAAGGAATATCGAATTCAATAAATAATGTTTTCTCTGTCTATCTAGGCCTTGAGAAAATTGACCAAACCATCAAATTGAATACACTCTTAGGAAATCTTTTTTTTTTTACTTCTGTTAGCAAAAAATCCGAACCGTTTACAAAGAGTGATGATTTAACATCTCTGCTACCATTTGTTTTGTTTTATTGCCTTCTGGTCACACATCAATTTGTATAAGTTAAATGAATGAAACATATGTGTGCTCCTTGTCATGATCGGGAAAAAAAGGAAAAATCCGTCGTCAATTCAGTGTATAAATAATGGATTAACAATTTGCATGAAAACGTCAGTCAGCATTTGACTCAATGATAAATTGTATTTGCTGAAAAGGTTATTGTATTGACCATAGAACTTGCAAAATGATGACTTTTAACGAGACTGCTGATATTCTTGATTCATCAACTTGTTTGTCAAATTTAGCTCGTTTTAGAAATTGTTCATATGTAGAGCATGCTCTTGCATATCGAATCAACTGAGATATATAAATTCCGAATGCAGGTGATAGATATGATAGAAAGAAGAGATATTTCATGATTTTGTCATATGAGTTGAGGATTTCAGTTCAAGGAGGGACTGAGCTGCTGTCTTTATGAAGAGATACTAATGATTCTGAGGAAAGGATTCCTTTATAACGTCAGTTTTCTTTATCTTTAGGAGGAAACTCTAGGCATTGACTAAAACCTGAGTCATTTACATAAAAACATGACTTGTGCATTGATGACAAATCAGTGCATAAAGACAATGCAACAAACTGTCTTATTATGTTTCAAGGGTGTGTTTATGTTTAATTTTCATTAATATTAATTTTTTTTTCAATTTATTGGGTTAAAAACAGACATACCTATATTAATATTTGTAAAGATCCCCAACTATTTGGATTTGTACCCAGTTTAAAATATCTGGAAGCAGAGGTTGGGCTTAGCCTAGACATTCCATGTCATTTTTTAAAAATATAAACAACGTGAATCGCAGTTGTTAATTCAAAAAATGGTAAAACGTTTGGAAAAAACTGGTCGGATCACCCTATCATAATATGGAACGCTGATGTGGTATTCATAAACTACTATTTGTAGAGACAACAAGTACTAAATACATGACTAAAAGGTTATAAGCGCACTACAATTCTACCTACTCACAAACTTAAGTATTGGTGAATAATCAGGATTTTATCGTGAGTGTAGATAAGCATTCACAAAAGGCATACATTTAAGAATTCAAGCCTTTTGATTTAATGTATGCTTTAAAGTTTGTAGTGATTGAGTATGGATTTTTTTTTCAAAGCCTTGCTTAAGTTTCAAATCAGTATGTTTGATGTACAGGCTTGCCGATACTTTGAATATATTACAGGCAGGAAGATCAAGAAATATGAATTTCACCAGTTTTATCAATCTTTTTTCTTAGAAAGGAGAGAATCTTTTTTCTAGGAAAAAAAACAATACCCAACATCCTCAGGAAGCAAAGCATAATCCCTGATGCTGGATCTGGGCCTCAATAGACAATCAAGTTTTTCTTCTTGTACATAGGGAAAAAAATTTTAAGATCAAGGCCATAAGTTTATAATTATTTCCTGCTTATAGGGTAGCAATCTCAAGTATTTTAGGTACAATTTTTCAACTTATTACACCCGGGGCAATGGTGAGGTCACAAATTCTTTTCAAGAACAGCACATTTATGATTAGAAATATTTAGTTGGAAGCCTTATAAAGAAAATATTTTGTATTTTCTAATCTGTAGCAGTAATTAAAAGTTAAAATATGATAATATAATGGAAAACTAACCAGTTCCGAAAGAGATCTAGAAGCGTGAATCAAACTTTTCGTATTCAAACTGTGTCAGTATGCTCCATAAGTGTCAGGATGAAGATATCATCCAGTGCGATGACACCTCATTGATTCTAGGGATAAGGAGACGTTGATTTTAGTCTAGACTGGTTCTCACTAAGAATGATAATCGTGAAAATGAAAAACTGGCTAATTTCCTGATAATTGTGACACTTTGTAAAATTGAGCATCTCCCACCCTGAAAATGTATATTTTATACCGCCAGGCATCAAAGATAAATCATGGATAACTTGTTTATAGAAACTCATCAGAGACAATATCTCAACTTATTGCAGAGATTATGAAGAAACCTTCTCAAGAAATAGTGCTAGATGTTCAATCAAGATTTGTAATTTAGCGTGAAATATTGCTTTTTAGCGTGGACTTTATAACCTGCACGTATTCAGGGAACATGATACCATTCTCCAATATGCTTCTTCAAATGTAGTATTTCTATAGATTTATCACCATTTCAACCTTTTCACTCTTTGTAAATCAGACACAGGCAAACGTTGACAGACTCATTACGTATATCTTACTCAAGTACAATAATGGATGAAAGGCCTAGAGTCATTCATATTTTCTGTTAGAAGATTGTGCGAATTACAAGTACAGAGCGAAAAAGAATTGTCT